ATATATAAAGAATGAAAATCTTTATATTTCATAGTGCTTAATCAAACACTACAGTTATGAATTCCCACTTCTGCAGCAAAAGAGTCTGCTTACATGTTAGGTGCTAAGATGTCTGACCTGATAAAGTTTTAAAAATATACTTGAAAGCCTCCTTTTATAAAGAAAGACTAGATAACATATAGTAAAAACATATTACTCCTCATTGAGAAAATAGGAGCTTAAAATTGCTAAGGAAATTTCAGGAATCTTTTGAAATACATTGGTCAATGAATTCATTAGTACTTCTAGTTTTCTATATTATTGAAGTTCAGTCTTTTACATGTGGTATGGAAAATTGCTTAATAACAGTGGCAAGGAAATTAAAGCTCAGAGAAGTTAAAGAACTCCTCTCAGCTCATACATGACAATCATGAGAATTCAAGCTTTGTGGTCTTGTTTCATTTCTCCTTTAACAAAAACAAAATATATGTATATATGTGTATATATATATATATAAAGAAGAAGAAAGATGAAATAAGCAAGCAAATGGAGCCACCAGAGACTGGTTCAAACCAGAACAGTATGGGGAGGCACCTCCTGGGAGGCACCAGTGTGCCCAGGGATGCCCACACCAGGTCACCTCCAGAAAAAAATGAAAACACATCCTGCCCTTGAAGATTGCCTAGGAGTGAAAATCCTAACCCTCTCCCACTTTGGCTATTATCACTTCAGTAAGAAGTTTCCTGATTTCAGTTCCAATTTCCATAGAGGACATGACTGTTGAACTGCCTTCTGTAGTGAAGAGAAGCCCTCCCAGCCTTGGGAGGGCTTGGGTCTGTGTGTTAGGGCTGTAGTCCTCAAATTCCAAGTGCTGGTCTCTTTGGGTTTGGTCCCTATATTTTACAGTTATGATTCAGTTAATTATCAATATCAAATTGTTCACCCCTTTAATGTCCCTTAACTTGACTATAGCTTAAATTTCATTTTGATAACTATAAAAAAATCTACTAACAATCAATTATAAGCAGCAAACTTATAACTATACAAACAGTAAGAATATAATTGAAAAGTGAAGAGCTTAATTCTCTACCATAATAATTTGTGAGTACTTTAAGGCTACCACAGAAGTAGATCTTTCCTGGGAATAAAGGATGCTGGACACAGTACAAATTTATATCTAGTATTATAACTTCCTCATAAAAATGACATTTATTAGAGAATATCTGAGTCTTAAATGTTATTATTGAGTCAGTAAGAAACCAATCAACGCATTTAAAAGGGTTTTAAAGAAGCACATATTTAAATTTAAAAATCATTTATGTCTATTTTTGCTAAAAAATATTTACTAAAATTTGGCATATGAGTTTGTCACTGATTTAATCAAGACATTTCCAGGCAATCTATTTCAATGTTCTATTTTGGCTCACAATACAAGCTAAATAGATACATCTTATTCAATGAATTATGTACTGGAAATTATTTATTAGGTTCTTACTGAATTCCCTAACCTTCAAAACCGCATTGATACAATAGAAATTAAGGTACGCTCTAAAATGTCACATTTTTCATTGAAAATTATTTAGTGAAATTGTCATGAATAGATACAGAAAACAAAACTAACTTCTTGAAGATAAAGAAGTTGACCTTTAAAAGAAGCTATTTACTTAGTTTAAGTTTTAAACATAATATAGTTTCAGTTTTAGGCCTGGAGCACATCTTTTTTTGTTTGGCTAGGTAGCAAGTAATTTATTGATATTATGTCTTCAAAGTTCAGATGACGGTAGAAATTATGTAATTGGGTGCCTTCTGAAAAACAAATTTCCGTGTTAAAGAAAAATTGTGCTGAATAATGAACAGATTCTTGAATAGATACCACATGTTAATCTAAGGCTGATTCTGCCTTCTACCTGACTTATCTGTGGAAGGGCTTCTCTGCCAACACCTGGAATACTGAAGGCTTCTCTGTCCTCTCAGAAGTTATGGGAGGCTAAGGCCAGTTCTTCATTGTTTATCTCTAGAATGTGCAGGGGAATCCTTATTTGAGATGTGAACTAAAGTGATAATAAAAATAATGACCACCTACAAAGCATCTTCTATAGGCCAGAAATTGGAAAAATGAAAATCAGGTTGTTTGACTTAAATAATTGCTTAGCAGTCAGTTTACAAATACATCTCCTTTTTCACAGTGGTGATTACATATTTGTGAACTTTGCTTCAATTAAAATTTTAATTAGATAATAGAATATTAAGCTGCATCATTTTGAAAAGTACATATTGTTGCATAATTATTTTCTTAAACTTCTGTACTAGGGATCCTAAGATACTCTTTGGTGGATTACAAAAATAATAATACTATAATATGGAAGTCATTTAAAAGTGTGTGTAATGTGATGGACCATTATGCTAGAGTAAAATGCAGTGGATGATGGGGCTAGGATGATTATGAAAAGAGTGTGAACATCATCATCATCATCATCATCATCACCACCACCAGTACTATTTATCTTATAGTAAAATATCCTCTAGCACTATGTAATGTTTTAAGTTTACAATAAAACTTGCTTGCATGACAGCCTTAATAAGTAGATATTATTATTCCCACTCTAAGTGGTTATATTACTTGCAAAGGTTGCATGAACACTTTGTACACAGGAAAGTTGCCAATCCAATCCTGATGTGCCAGGCTCTAAACCCGCTCTATTGCCAGGATTGTATACCACTGTTTTCATGAACACAAAATGTCTACAAAATAAGAATGTTCAACTAAATAATCTTATCACAATTTTCACTGCAAGTTTACTATGTTATCTATTAAGGCTACCAAATAATGGAAAGAAAAGATTCACCACAGGGAAATTAGAGGAACACTTAGGACCCGTGCTGTAAGTTTTAGTCTGGATCAAGATAGTGTTTGCCCTTTAATATATTAGTGTTGGTCAACACGCAGTTCTGAATGTTAGGATAAAGCCCAGAGCCCTAAACCTGTTGATAAGGCTCTCTACAAATGGTTCTAGTATACATCTCCAAATTCACCTTTTATTCTTCTCTACTCACACTGAATTTCTTCTGGTCCCACGTTTAAAATTTGAGAATTGACATAAAACATTAATATTCAGCATGATTTAATACTTGTATTTAATGTATAAGGATCTCCACAATAAGTCCAGTTATCATCCATATAGTTACAATTATTTTGTTCTTATGATGAGAACTTTCAGGGTTTACTCCTTTAATAACTTTCAAAATACAATATAGTATCACTAACTACATATAGATTTTGCAGTACATTTACTTCATGACCTATTTTACAACTGGCATTTTGTAGTTCTTAATCCCTTCCCAATTTTACTCCCCTCCTCACCTCCTGTTAGCCCTACCAACCTGTCCCTATATCTATGAGTTTTGTTATTGCCTATCTCTTCTAGAAGTTTTATGGTTTTAGAGCTTACCTTCAGGTCTTTAATTAATATCTCAGTTAATTTTTATGTAGGTTATAAAACAGTGGCACATATTCATTCTTTTATATATGGCTGTACAGTTTTCCCAACACCATTTATTGAAGAAACTTTCTTTGTTGTGTATGTTTTGCTCCTCTGTTATATTTTAATCATTTATGTATGTATCTATTTTTGGGCTCTCTATTTGGCTCCACATTATTTTTTTTTAAAGATTTATTTATTTATTCATACAGAACTGGGTACAGGCCAGAGATGTGGAGGGTGAGAGGATTCACCAGGAACAGAGTGGGGAGCAGAACAGGCAGATCGACGAGGTACACTGCTGAGGGGAGCAGCGAGTGGGTCAGGAGATGTCTGCCTCACCATATGGTCACCTCCGGAGCAGGCAGGGATTGGGGATCGAACTCATGCGGAAGTGGCTTAAGCTTCTTAGTGCAGTGCTTTAACCCGCTGCACCAGCAGGGAGGGCCACCACATTAGTTTTACTAGTGTTTTGAATTTAGGAAAGATGCCTTCTGCTTTGCTGTTTTCAAGATTGCTTTGGGTATTCTGGATCTTTTGTGGTTCTACAAAATTTTAAGGTTTTTTTAGCTCATGTTTGTGAGAAACTCTCTTATGGTAATTTTTTTATTCAATCCTCCTACAAGAACATCACATCACTTTGAGAGTTTTTATCTGGTTGTTTAAATTTGGTTAAATTCTCAGACATGTTTCCAAAAGACTTTCTGCTACTTCTACCATTTCTGTCATATATTATTCAAAATACAATTTTATAATCCTCCTTTTAAATTAGACAGCAAATTCTACGAAGATGGAGATTTTATTTTCACACTGGTTAATACCATTAATGAGTTGCTCCTTGCTACCCTAACCAGCTTCTTCCCCATCTAAGACAT